TTTTTTTTTTTTTTTTTTTTTTTTTGCTTTGTCGGCTTTAATTTTGTTTAATCTTGGTATTTTTGTATGGAAGCCTTCTAACTGGAATAAGTAAAAAAAAAAAAAAAAAGGAAATTCTATATTAGTAATCAATTCAAGCTTGTAGAGATTAAAGTTTGAACGTATAAGTATATTTTACTTGGAAATGTTTGTTTACAAAGATACTGAAAGTTATAAAAGCAAATGCTTAAGATTTTAGGACTGAATCATTATTGCAGTGATTAATATGTTTCTGGCATGTTGTATGTTCAATTCTTTTAACCCTATAACTGATGCAGTGTGTAGCTTTTTATTTCTTAAACAACCATGTTGGAAGGCGCACCCAATGTACCGCTCTGTAAAGTCGACTCCAGCACATCCCAAAGACTTTCAGTAGGGTTAAACTCAGGACTCTGAACAATTCATACATGAAAATGATTGCTCATGCTCACTGAGACACTATTTCACAAACTGAGCCCAATGAATCTTGACATTGTCTTCCTCTACGTCTTCCAACATGGTTGTTTAAGAAATAAAAAGTAAGCACTGTATCATTTTGGGTTAAAAGAATTGTTGCCAAACATACAACATGCCAGAAACATATTAATCACTGCAATAATGATCATAGACTCTTCAGTTTTTGCTTATTTAAATACAAATGGCGATTTTTTTCTTCTTCTATCTATCTATCTATCTATCTATCTATCTGTCTATCTGTCTGTCTGTCTATCTATCTGTCTGTCTGTCTGTCTGTCTGTCTGTTTGCCTAATAATGCATGGCTAGCTGTGCATTAAAGCTTGAACATAAGATTGGACGAATCTATTCTTGAGGATCAAACATCTACCGAATCAGACCAAATGATGATGAAACCTTTCAGATGAGAACCAGTGTGGAGATCGACAGAAACCACAAAGGATCTTATGACTGTTTTGTCATTCACAGCAGCCTGACAGAACCAGTTTCAGTAGAATGGGGTAAATATCACCAGAAATACAGTCACTCACATATTTGTAACATGAGAACATGATAATGCTGAAATAGATTATTGTTGCTGGCCACAAACAATTAAGTTTAAAGTGTCTTACTGCATTTCAATAGTTTCTAATGTTTATTAAAAAACAGTGATTATACAATTATTTTTTATTTATTATTTTCATTGTGCAGATGGAGAATGTTCTAACTGTGAACCAGATCCTCCACGGTCTGCTGCAGCATCTGTCTGTCTGTCTGTCTGTCTGTCTGTCTGTCTGTCTGTCTGTCTGTCTGTCTGTCTGTCTGTCTGTCTGTCTGTCTGTCTGTCTGTCTGTCTGTCTGTCTGTCTGTCTGTCTGTCTGTCTGTCTGTCTGTCTGTCTGTCTGTCTGTCTGTCTGTCTGTCTGTCTGTCTGTCTGTCTGTCTGTCTGTCTGTCTGTCTGTCTGTCTGTCTGTCTGTCTGTCTGTCTGTCTGTCTGTCTGTCTGTCTGTCTGTCTGTCTGTCTGTCTGTCTGTCTGTCTGTCTGTCTGTTTATCTATCTGTCTGTCTGTCTGTCTGTCTGTCTGTTTGCCTAATAATGCATGGCTAGCTGTGCATTAAAGCTTGAACATAAGATTGGACGAATCTATTCTTGAGGATCAAACATCTACCGAATCAGACCAAATGATGATGAAACCTTTCAGATGAGAACCAGTGTGGAGATCGACAGAAACCACAAAGGATCTTATGACTGTTTTGTCATTCACAGCAGCCTGACAGAACCAGTTTCAGTAGAATGGGGTAAATATCATCATAAATACAGTCACAAACAAAGTTCTAGTAAGAGACTATTTTAATGCTGACATGCTGATTGCCACAAACAACTAAAGTGCCTCAAACAACAGTTATTAAAGTTTGCTTTTATTTTTTTTTTTATTTTTTTTTTTTTTTCTGCACATGGAAAATGTTCTAACTGAACCAGAATTTAAATGGTCTGTTACAGTAGGAACAGTAGCAGGTGTGTTTGTAATTGGATTTCTCACTTGTTACTGCAGCTACAGAAGGAGAAGATCAGATGGTGAGTTATGAACATTCAGACATTCAGCATGATCACTATATCTTTAAAGTTGTTTTTAAATATCCTTGTTAGAAGACCTTTTAAAATGTATGGACAGTTTGGCAGTATGTGATTGTAGAAATAAGTGAAGATGGTAAAAGTGTTTGTTATGATGGTGAGATTATTTCATTATTTGGATTTGATGACACAGACTACAAGGTACGGTTATCCATAATATTTATCAAACAAATGAATGTAAATGTGTATATATTTAGAAAAACTATCTGAAAAAACTATCTGTTCTTATACTGTACCTTAGGTCTGTGGAAAAATGATCATTCCGTCATTCTGAATGGACATTGTATTCTAATTATCCAGGTTTGTTCTGCAAAAAACCGCTGTTTGTTTTCAGTTCTTGTTTCTTTGTCAGCATTTTCTAATCTGAGTCAGCTCTGCTTTATTAAGGAAACTTACAACAGTTCATATTTACTAGATTTATTGTTTGTTCTGCTGCTTTACACTGCAAATATGACGCTGCTTTTCACATTCGTGTTACATGATATTCAGTTCTCTAATCGTTTCAGTCGAATGGACATTTTAAAGGTTTTTAACATCACAGGATGATGTTGTGAAGCAGTGATTTTCCATTGCATGTTTGTCTTTGTGTGTGTTTTTATTAGTAGATATCAATAGAAATCAACCTGTGTTCCTGTAGTGTTCCTGTAACTTAATCATGCAATCAGTGCAATTCCCAGTGAACATGTATTGATCAGAAGTACAGCTAGTGTATGACTGGTAAATGTGCCTCTTTTAAACAATATGTGTTAAATGTGCAATATAGGAAATAAATGAGTCTTGACTTATTGTGTGTTAATGGACATAGGGAAACATCTTCACTGATATCAGACACTTCTCTCAGCTCATACAGCAACACAGTTTAGAGTCAGAAAATAACTTGGGAATTATCAAGATTTTGAGATTATGAGGCCCAGAAATGCTGTTAATATAGGAAATACAAAGATCTAGTCTGACAAAGATGCACCAAAGAGAAAAGAAATTTAAACAATTAAAGCTGACTATGTAGAAATGAAATATTAACCCTGCTGTATTTGACAATCTAATGTGAAAATTCAATCAGAAGACTTTTACACACATGCCTTATAGAGCAGACTGATGTGCATCGCTCTGTTGATCCTCTTAGATTTAGATTTCACTTATTTAACTTTGTTAAAGAGTTAGACGTATCTATACTTTGTCAGCACACCAAAATATACAAGTTCAAGAAAAAACATTGCTGAACGCAACATTTACAAAAGAAAACAAACCTTAATACAGACTACATTTTATGGAGAAGTAATGATTGATTGATTGATTGATTGATTGGTCCTTGACAGATGCAGTCACTAATGTTTTGTTGTATGTTCTCAGTTTATATTCTCAAACTATAGTCTGAAAACTGTTTTAAGAGAGTTTAAAAATGATAATACTGTTAACGACGAATTTAAATAATTTTACGGTTGGACTTTTCCTCAACATATAACCTTATAACATATAACAACATATATAACCTTTCATAATAATGAAAGTGAAAGTGTAATTTCATCAAGCCGCCTGTGAGGGGCAGCAGTGCGCTCAAAAACACCCGGAAGAGACGAAAGAACTTTCACTTTCACTTTAAGATCCAGATCCAAAATGTAAAGGACAAAAAAATATTTGATAGGCTCTAGTTTTTAAATATTTTCTGTATAGAATGTTTTTGCTTGTTATTATTTTATTGTTTCACAGTTTTCTTAGCGTTGCACAGCAAGGTAAGAACACTATTATAAAATATTATAAATGTTATGTTAAATATAGTAAAAAATAAAATGTTACTGTATTCCTTAAAGTAGAGTTTGTTAGTTTTATCCGCATTTTGTCAGTTTTGTCATTGCATGTGTCTGTCCCTCAGAGAAACATTCACTCCACTTCAAGTTTACAGCTCTTTCCAAAGCAGACACATTCCCAGAGTTCAGTGCTGTAGCTGTTGCTGATGGCAGACAGATCAAACATTACAGTAATGAAGATCAATCCTGGGTCAGATCGAGTCTGACTGAAGATGACTGGACCAAGTCTCCTGCAGAACCACCTGATTCTAGAGACTGGTTCATACATCAGATCAGGACTCTGTCAGACTGCACACAGTGTTCTGGTGCCTTTAATGCTTCACTCATCAATTATCAGACATGTTGTGAAGACTTTTGCACAGTACTGAATACAGTGTATATTGTTGTGAGTGTTGTTCTGTGATTGTAGAGCTCCATGTTCTTCAGAGAATGATTGGTTGTGAACTGGAGAAGCTTCCTGATGGAACAGTGAGTCTGAGAGCATTTGATGAATATGGATTTGATGGAGAGGATTTTATGGCCTTTGATTCTGACAATCTGCAGTGGATTGATAAAAACCCCCAAAGCTAAAGAAACCAAAAGGGAATGGGATAAACGCAATGAACACCTGCACCATTACCTCCAGACCTGCTTGAACTGGATCTCCACATTTAACAACACAAAGAAGAGTAAGTTCTGATCGGATCGCTTTAATTAGCTGTAACGAGTCTTTGTGAGCATGGAATAAGTTCAGGAGGTTGTGTCTAATTCTCTCATTGTACAGAGATCTAGATTTATCACCATTTAGTAAAAAATAAATACTGATGAGTTTAAAATATTGAACATTCATAATGTTGAATTATCCTTATTTGAGTGTTTGATTTAACTCTGGGTTTGTATCTGAAATGATACAAGATGAAACACTATTAATTTAGTCTAAATTATAAAAATATAGGAAAATCGTTCAAGGTTGTGTATACTTCTGTAGGTGTAATTGTGATCATTTACTCGGAAAAAAAAGTGTGAAATATATATATAATTTTATTATTATTATTTTATTTATTTTTTATTTTTTTGCACAAAGAACCAAATTATTTGTAAAAGTTTCTTTGTTAATTGCATTATTATTTTCTCCTCCAGCTCCACCGGATGTTCGTGTGTTTGCGAGGAGCGCTCCTGATGATCAATGTAAGCTGAATCTGACCTGTCTGACCACTGGCTTCTACCCCAGAGCTGTTAGGATGAATATCAGATTGTACAGACTTATAATTAAGGACCAAACATCATCTGGAATCAGACCAAATGACGATGGATCCTTTCAGATGAGAACCAGTGTGGAGATCGACAGAAAGCACAAAGAGTTTTATGACTGTTTTGTGAATCACAGCAGTCTGGCGGAACCAACTGTAATAGAATGGGGTAAATATCATCATAAATTCATCTTTGATTGAATGTGTGAAGAGTGGCTTTCATACACTAACGGTGCTTCTGCATGAATAACAGATGAAGCTCAATAAAGTATTAAAAAGAGAGCATAACATTGATATTGCTGGTCACACACAATTACACTTAAAGTGCTTTGACTCCGTGGTTTCAATGTTTGTGTTTTTATTTATTTCTTTTTTGCAGCTGGAAATTGTGCTGACTGTGAAACAGTATCTCAGTGGGCTTTAAAAGTAGTATTAATAACAGTTCCAATAGTTCTAGTTCTCATTGTGATCTGTGTCTGCATCTATAAAAAGAGAAGGTTACATGGTGAGTTATAAATATTCAACACTTTTGCTTTTTAATGTCTTGTTTTTAAATAGCATTGTTTTAAAGACATTTCGAAAAAATGTTTTGACTATATACTTTGACATTACGAATATTTTATTTGATGATCACAAACTACAAGGATCATAGCAAATGAGAATTGAAAAATTGCTGTATATATATTCAAGCTGAAGTTTTTATATAATCTACTGTATTTTTTTTTTTCTAGCTCAGACGAGCAGTTATGGTGATCAGATTGGAAGGGAGATGAAAACCGAGCAGCATCCTTCACACAGAGGTATCTCCTTGGGCTGCCCCCTTAATAGTCGACTAAACTTTAGTAGAGAATATTTTATTATTAATCGGTTAATTACAGAAAAAAAAGGCAGTCGCTATTTGCACTAAGTGAAAAGTTCAGTTTGAGTTGATTCAATGGAAATGAATCGAACTTAATTGCATTTTACTATTCAAATCATAAACTTAATGACCAAACAAAATCATCATCTTGCTTCAGTTTATGATATTCTATAAACAAAAACAAATATAACAGCCAAACAAATCTTTGAATCGATTCATTGAAACAAACCGTTTTGAACTTCTGAAGTTCAAATCAGAGATGGAAAAATAAAATTACCACAATCTTGCTTCAGTTAATGAATTTATGATTTTTTTTTTGAACACTTAAACATAAAAACAAAACACTGAATCATTTGAATCGACTCATTGGAACACACAGTTTAAAATGATTCATGGAAATGAATCAAACTTGTTTGTTACTGCCACTAAAGTTCAAATCAGAAACTTTATGACCAAATAAAATCATTGCAGTCTTATTTGATTTTATGAATTAATTATATTTTTATAAACAGACAAAAAAATAACACACAAACAAATCATTGAATCATTTGAATCGATTCATTGAAACAGACCGTTTGAACTTCTGACGTTCAAATCAGAAACTTGATGGCAAAATAAAATTACCACAATCTTGCTTCAGTTAATGAATTTATGATTTTTTTGTGAACACTTAAACATAAAAACAAAACACTGAATCATTTGAATCGACTCATTGGAACACACAGTTTAAAATGATTCATGGAAATGAATCAAACTTGTTTGTTACTGCCACTAAAGTTCAAATCAGAAACTTTATGACCAAATAAAATCATTGCAATCTTGTTTAATTTTATGAATTAATTAAATTTTTATAAACACAAGACCAAATATAACACGCAAACAAATCATTGAGCTGTTGTTTAACAGCTTTTGTACTGTTGTCTAGCCCAACCACACGTTGGTGGGTGGAGTTAGTGTAAATAGCCTCTGCCGACAAGGCATGCTATTTGCAATTTTTGTAAATAGACACTCCGCAGCAAAAACTGTTCATGTCTGTGACGGACAGATCGTTAACAGTTGGTCCTTGTGGTAATTACAGTATATCGTGCAGAAAAATCCAAACGCTCTCCTGTCATTCATCCACCTCAAATATGGCTTATCATTAAAACATAATTAAGTAGTAGCATTCACTCTAATATTAACCTAAATAAATGTGATAAATAGTAGCTATCAGGCACGTATCCAAGTGTTTGTGCAGAGCGTGGAAGTTATTAGCACATTTACGGTCATGGCCTTTTATTCCAGATAACAACTTAAAAGTAATTTTTGCCCATACAGTTAAGAGTAATAATACATAATTTGAAAATGTAAAGGATCTACTTTTATTTGTGTACACTCACAATATCAACAAGACATTGTGCTTTTGTAAAATAAAGAAATCCAACAGGATGCACTTTCTGCCGTTTCGGTCTCCGTGAACTGGTGCGCGGCACAAATGTGAACCGAAACTCATCGGCTGCTTACCTCGCAGACATGACAAATACATCTATAGAAAGCTTAAAAAATGTCTATTTTTAAATGAACCAAATTCAACTGGAAAACAAAACCTCTCTCATTATGTACTGTAGGGGTGAGCGGGGCACAAACTAACGCAGGGTTAGTTAAACTCCTGATTTAAACATTTCCACACATGCTAACATAACAAAATTTACGGTATTTACTCATTGCCATATCAACACTATACACAGAAAAAATTGTGCCAAAATTCTAAAATCTTCTTTAGATATCGCTGAATATTTAACCATAGCAAAAGTACATTTATGGCTGAAGTAAATTTTTCATTGTTTATTTAAAATGAGACAAATTTGCTATTATTTTAATCTTAGATCTGTTATTTAGATAGTTCTTTAATGCTTCGTTAACTAGCAGAAGACACTAACCAGTTTTAAATTCCAGTTGCACAGATGGGAAACGTTGTAACACTGACTGTGCCTCGCTATTATTAGTGCTACGCTATTCTATGACATTAAATTTACATTAATTACTTTCATGAATTTTAATGAGAAACAGGTGCATAAAGACTGGGAGTCTATTAATGTTCAGAAATTATTGTTTGAATATAATGAAATGTAAAGCATTTTGTCTCCTGTTGTGTGAGAGATGTGTTGTGTTCATCTCTGTTTTCCCTGAATGTGCTTCTCCGTTAAGTTTTATATTATCTGCTGTATGTTTTTCTAGGTCAGATGAGCAGTTATGATGACGAACATGGAGTCAAGATGAGACTTCACTCTGATTGTGGAAAGATGTCCAGTCCTGAAAGTAAAAGAAGAGAAGGGTATAATAAGAACGGATCATGATATCTCCGTATCACAGCCTGGACTGAGATTGTGGTTTGTAGGTCCTGATTAGAAATGCAGTTTATTTGATTAATCAGGGACAGTGCTGAATAATGTTGCTGGACAATTTTGAGCAGCAGATGCTCTGGTTTTATGCCTCTGTATATTTGTAGCATGTGTCTCTGGTTAAGCTTTTTCATAGACACTTCTCATGTAAATGTTTGTCATTTTGCTTCATTCTAAGAATGAACTCTATTCTTCAGTTACGCTCTCCATTCTGCAAAGAATTAAGGCTTTTTTCCTGTTGTTAGTTGTTTTTGTTACTTCCACCATCAATCATCTTTGCTTTTTTTTTTTGGATGAAGAAAACTTCATCATGACAGACCCTGTTTATTATGTTCCTTTATAAGGAAATAAAACTGTGTCAAACTTTTCATGTTTGGCACATAATATTTGCTATTTATGTAACAGTATTGAATATTGAACTTCAGTATTTGAAGTATTTTGCATTTAAATCATTAA